CCAGGTGCTCCAGTTTCCCCCGTCAGTCCACAGACATGCTGGTAGGTTCATTCCTGGTGTGAGTGTGTGAATGTTCATATGTTCTGATTCACTGCAGATGTACTTCATCCCTCAGTGTAGTAAAGTAGAGTCAGTAATGTGCAAGAAATCAATATTAACAGAAGCTGAAGAAAATTTACCTTTGACATATTTTACCTAATGAATGTGCTATACAAACGGCTCGTTTGTCAAATTATTGTAAGATACAGTGATACAAGATACAAGTCTTTCTTCATTTTACATTTCTGTTCTGCAATAAAAAGACATTGAAGTTAAACTTGTAAAAGTTTAAAGTTTTGTTAAACGTAAAACAAAAGCACTCACAAGTGCACTCTGAATAAAAAAAATAATTTTGTAACACTGTAAATTAAGTGACTTCTGAATATATTCAAAGACATTTCACAGTCTTCAACAGATTGAAACAAAACATTTTATAATGCCTTCCTATAAAAGAAAGTAAATTCTGTGGAAAAAAATATAATGTAAGGAAATAATTGTGCCAATTACTTTCAGCATTGCTCTAAATATCCCATATCATCTTTCTCCTACAGTATATTTCCTAAGATGATCTCGGAGCATTGGTCAGAAGTGAGGGATACTGTCTCTTACGATACTAGGATAAGCTGATTGCTGAAACTGATGCTCATATTTTAAATGTCAAAAATTCAATTTTGTTTAGCTTATATCTCAATACACAGCTATTTCTCCTTCTGTGCCTCATCAGTTGGTAATTACCATGTATTGATCAGCAGGGCCCTGATTAAGAGCCTCACTCCAGCCCCGGAGCTGTGAAGACTCCACAGGCTGAAGGACCCATCTGCTCCTCGCTCAAGCCACAGTGCCACAGAGGAGGCTCTCACTGATAACACTGCAGACTCGGGGGTGCTTGGCACAGCAGGGGCTGCTGTATGCCGGAAGGTGAGGACACCCGATTGCACTGCTGTGGGGAACCCCACTCACAGACCCCCAACATCACTGCTGCTCTGCTCACAGACCCCCAACATCACTGCTGCTCTGCTCACAGACCCTCAACATCACTGCTGTAGGGATCCCTGCTCACAGACCCCCAACATCACTCCTGCGGGAAGCCCTGCTCACAGACCCTCAACATCACTGTTGCACAGGGAATCTCATAGGGACCTGATGGCACAAAGGAAAAACAAGAGATTTCTGCACTAGGCCTTAACCAGCATAGCCCTTTCACTACTACTGCCAGCCAGTAGCCACATCACCCTGCAACTCACCACTGGCAGCCCACTGGAGCTCGGCAGGTGTGAGCCTGGTCAGTACCTGGATGGGAGACTCCTGGGAAAAACAAAGGCTGCTGCTGGAAGAGGTGTTAGTGGGGCCAGCAGGGGGCGCTCACCCTGCAGTCTGTGTGGGTCCTAATACGGGGACACTAAACTGTAAAAAGGTGCAGTTCTTTGGATGAGATGTAAAACGGAGGTTCTGATCTCTGTGGTCATTAAAATGCCCGGGGCATTTCTTGAAAAGGGAAGGGGTGTTACCCTGGGGTCTTTCCCATCGAAATTTCCCATCAGCCCTTACCAATCGTGGCCTCCTAATAACCCCCATATCTGAACTGGCTTCATGACTCTGTTCTCCTTCCCACTGAGTGCTGGAGTGTGGGGAGCGTACTGGTGCACTACGACTGCCGTCACATCATCCAGGTGGGGCTGCAAAATGGTGGTGGAGGGGATCCCCATTACCTGTAAAGCGCTTTGAGTGGAGTGTCCAGAAAAGCACTATATACTGTAAGTGTAAGGATTTATTGTCTATATTTATTTTTTGAGGCGTGAAACCATACTCTTTTCAGCAATTCTAAGATGTTTTCCATAAGAAGAAATATGAATTCACTATTGTGGTGTTTTTGTTCTAGCTGGTTCTAAGAGCTTTCTTTCTAAAATATTTGTAATGTGACTGCTTTGTGTTTAGATAATTTAAGAATGATAAGGATGATATGATTAATAATGAGGTTGTCATTCCTTTTAATGGGTGAAAAGCTTCGCTTTTAATTCTGTATTAGTAAATTGGCTTTGAATCCCTCCAAAGCACTCAAATGTATTGGAAAGCAAGATAAAATAATGTCTTGACTAGCAAATCCTTGATTGAGATAATTCATACTCAACACTACAGTAAGTATGTGAAATGAAAAACAGTTTGATGAAGCCAGCTCTAATCTATTTGCATTCTCACAGTGACCAGATAAAATATTAATTTATGTTTTGATTGGACTACATTTTGTTTCTGCCTTCTTTGCACATATCTTCAAATGTTTTTAACACCACCCCAGTCCCTTTTTCCTTTAAAGGGAAAGGGTCTTGGAAATAGTGATTATTTCCTGAGACATTACTAAACATTTTTATGTTGAGATTACAATTTCACCTGAATGAACCTGATCTGAAGTTGTTCTAGGCAGGAGGCTGCAGAAAACATTTCTCTGGAAGTTAAAATATACTCATACATACAGCACCATCTCTGCTACTGAAGAAATTACATTGTTTCTTTAGTTCTACCAATGTAATGAATTTTTAGTGGGGATCAAGGAGCATTTCGGAGACTCCTGAACTTTGATATTATTTTTGAATCCCTGTATGAATTGGATTGGAAGATAGGATAGTGCCACAAAAGTTATGATATTTGCATGGCAGTCGACCAGTCCTTTGCAGAATGGCATACAGGATTTCACTATGAAATCCTTGCTTGAATAAAACATTTTAATTGGCTTTCCAATTGCAGAGAATCAGAAAAAGTGATGTGAATAAAGTATGGCTTTTCTCATACTTGAAATGGTAAGGCTGAAAGTCTGATAATTAGCAGGCAGTTAAAAGGAGACAGGGACACATTCTAGTTTAATTTTGTATGCGTGGAATAGAGAACCCTTGTTGGTCACACCTGTAGGATGGCAGCTTCTATAGAAAGGCTCTGGAATCACTTTAATTAATTGCTTGGTATTTCTTAACCACAAAACAAAAAAAGGATAAATATAGCATTCTTTCGTAGAAAGATGCTTATTTCTGGAAAGAATTGCAGCAGCAAGCAGGAACCTATTTAGGAAGCACAGGACACAGGGTGGAACTAGACCCTGGATGGGGACGCCAGTCCTTTGCAGATTCTATAAAAAAAACAATTGTAATACTTACACATGAAACTATACTACGGTCAGTGCTGAAGTGCAAAAAAGTGTAAAAATTGAAAGAAAGTCTTGTACTATTGATTGAATAATAATAAATGTCCCCTTTTCTACATAATGAGAATGGGCTAATAAGTGTGAAAATCTGATTTATTTTTTTCTTTGTAAGATGTGTTGAATGATTTTGGTGTCTGATTAAGCATTGTCAAAAAAGTGTGCACTTTCCCCCTATTTCTTACGGCTTTTCTAGTGGAGTTTTCGAACCCCTTTTCCCCATTGTTCCAGGTGGGCTCTAACATGAAAAGACCTTGGTCTCCAGTCTCCAAGCTACTTTGAGTTACAGGCTGTGGGAACACTCATACAGTGTCCCGTTTAGCTGAAGAAAAAACAGCAAATAATATCAAACAGAAGAAGAAAAATGAACAACCCAAGGAAAAAAAAAAACACAAGATCACATGTAACATCAATACACACACAAATTTGTACAAACACTAAAGAAATGTGTCTTGCATGTTTACAAAGATGTGTATCCTGTTTGATTAATGGCACATTATTGAAACGCAGGTGCACAGTATATTAGAAAGGCTATAATACCTTGGTAGCATGGCTAATAATTCCAAATTGAGAAATCATGCTCCGGCTGCAAGCAGTTGAGGTATGAGCAAACATGAGACAAAGAGTTCCTGACTGCAAACACAGATAGTAAAGTATGATGTTTGTGTTCTACGTTAAATTAATTTTAAAGAAAGTGTAAGCAATCTTTAAGACATGCTTCTGTGCTGTTGATTTAGGCTGTTTGAGAGACAGCAGCGGATTTCTCCCTATCACCATTGCAAACAAGCCCACAACCTCTTTGCATTTTCAAAGTGCCTTGAAATTGAGTCACACCCCAGTTGCTTGCTTTGACCACAGGAAAATGATTTGTTGCTATTGACAGGACAGTGCTGTGAACAACCTGTTGTTGACCACAGACGCCTAAGAAACAAATAAAGATTTCAGCAAAGCAGCAGACTGAAAAGCCGGTGTCTGCAGGTTGATGTCATTAGCCTGCGTTTGCATGTGCTTTATCAAAACAGGCCCAAAGAATTCTGACAGCATGCCACACTTAGGACACATGTCACAAGGCATTTGCTCCAGTGCATGAATGAAAAGTCATATTTAAATATGGTCTGTGACAAATTGTACAACCCCATCCCCTTATTTGTACCTTTTTCTTAAGCGTATCTTACATTTTAAAGATCAAATTAAAAGTACTGGTACCAGCTTTGCACAAGAGTAAATGCTTAATTATTGTAACTTTTCCTACAACGTCTATGCAAAAATGTGCATGCAATGTTATAAACAACAGTAAATTGTACACTAACATTCACAGATTTGGGAAGAACATTTTATTGCTAAGCATATCCTCAAACATGAATGCAAAATAAAGAATGAGTGATTTAAAGCAGTAACAACACAGTAAATCAAAATATATACGTCGACTTAAATTTGGTTAAAAAAGAAAACAAAAACATGTTTAAAGCTCACATACAGTCCGCACATACTGACATGATTTAAAAAAATCAACTTTGTAAATAAGAATACACAAAAAGATAAAACACAAAATGAACTTAATACAATAATAATTAAAAAAAGGAAAATGAAGTCATTTCACAAGAATCCATAACAGTGAAATCCGTTAACAACAGACATTGAGATATAATCACATTACTTTTCATTGGTTTGTCTTAGCCGTGCTGAAACACCATTTTAATTTTTCTTCATTGTTTAGTTTTTTCTTTCAAATAAAAAAATAACACTAAAATAATCGATAACAAGGAAGCCTTGATACAATTAAGAAGAGCATTTTGTATTTGATTGATAACTTCCAGTAGTCAAATATTCATGCGACTTAGAAACATCAGCGAGAAAGATTGGATCTCTAACCTAACAATATTTTCCTCTCTTTACAAAATATGTATATTTTTTTGCTCCAAAGTCTTTCTCCATATCAGATAACAGTTTTGAATCTCCTCATGAAATACATTGAGAAACCAAATGATCAGTCTGTACAATAAAATACTAAAAAATTACAACTTAAATGTTATGTACAATATCTACCTACAAAGTACAACAGCTAGAATGTAATAAAATATGTAAACAAATTTGTTGTTTGACACAGTTGACTGTGACAACAGATAAAATTCACACTTTCACATTAGATTTATTTCTGTTTAAACATCCTTAACAGTGTTATAGAACTGTAGCAGTCTTCCATCGCACATCACAAGATTACTTTGCCACAGCAGCTCAATAGAAAAGAAGAGACGGGGAATGAACTGTCGCACTGAAGGCTTTAAAAGATATACGGGTACAGGCTGAAAAAAATGCACCTGCGACTGGTTTTCTTGTTTCGTTTAAAGAAAAACAAGGAATGTAACTCTGATGACAAATTGTTTGGCCTGCAATATTCGTTCAAGCGAGGTTGAACGCGGTATAGAATTGGATGGCATGCATTACAATCAGGAGTGCGCTTCACTGAGGCCAGAAAGCACAGCACGCCCTCCATGCCTCAGCGTCGGCTTTTAGGTACACTGTACGGCGTACGATTAAAAGTCAAGAGTCAGGCTGAACCGGACAAACAACGCCATAGGATCAACGCTGTCAAACATTGTTACTGGTTCGCTTCATTTAATACAGTGTTTTTTGCACAGAGCAAAAATCATAAGACACCACAATTTCATGATGTAGAAACAATACAAATTTGTTGTTATTGTATGGCGGTAGTCCTTATTTGTTGATGTTTTTTTTTCCCAATGATCCTTATTTTTTTCTCACCCACTCTTGGAAAGATGCCAGCACTACATGTCGTATACATGCTCAAAATGGCCAAAATATCTTTACAGGGTTACAAAAAAACAAGGTTTACATCAAGGATCACAGATCTCTAAAAGTCACTTGGGATAATGATGTAGCTGTGAAGGATTCTACACTGATAATTTCTCCACCCAGATAGAAGAATAAGGTCACTAATGTTGCTATTAGCCATCTTGGTTTGCTTGCAATAGTAAGTGTGCTTTATATTACAGTACATTTCATAGTTCACTGGCTCCGTGCACCGCTTGGAGTTTCAGTTCTCGCGTTTTTAATTGCAGCTCCCAACATGGTTAATTTGTATAATATAGTTCTCTCTCTGGTTTTTTTTTTACACGTAATATTCTTTGTCCTTGTTTTTTTGTTTCTTGTTGCCACTTTTAGCACTTTGCTGTTTCTCCTTCACGATCGCGCCGTTCGTCTGTGCTGAATTGCTTATGTAATTTCGCGTTTCGTCAACCTGGTACGATCCTTCATCCCTGTTTCTGTATTTATACATTGCGTACAGGAGAATAAGGATGCACAAAGCAGCTGCAGCAACTATTCCGACGACCATTCCGGTTGTGCTGCTAGATTCACGAACCACCTCTGAGGCCCCCGGAACCTGTTTCATGCCTGGCTCCGTGGGGTGTGCTGTGGGTACATTATGGAACATTGGGGAGGTTATTAATGGGCTCTTCAGCTTTGTGCTGTCTATCTCATAGGCAGTGGGCAATGGAAGCAAGACTATGTCTGGCTGGGGTTTAAGCTCTCGGTTATTCATTTTGCCTGCCGGCAGTTTGGGCACCATTTCGGGCGTGGAAGAAGCTGTGGAACGGACCAGCTCAGGGGATAACGATGTGGCAGTAGTCCTACCAGATTCGAAGGCTTTGTTAGGCCTAAAGTCCTTGGATTCCCACTTAGGTGCGTGAGCTTTGTAGCCACCTTCAAAGGCCGACGTAGACAAGGTCTTATCTGTTACCAAGGAGAAGGTGGTGTAAAAATCTTCATCATCGGTAGGGGGCAGGTTAGAGTCAAAAGCTTCCCCTGAGCCATACCCAGATATCACCAAGCCATCATCATCACAATCATCGCTGCCTTGGTCCGACAAGCAAGGAAACCCCGCCTCAGAAGTCATGGACAGGGAATCTTTGGTGGTCTCAATAATGGTTAGGAGGGGGCGAAAGGTTGGGGGAGGGGTAATGGAAGGTGCACGAGTAGCTATAGGAGGAATTTCTAAGGGATCTTCTACAAGTACAGGGATAACTAATTCACCTCCTAGGATTGAAAGAAAACAGGAAAAGCATGTTAGCACTCGGTAGGACTTCTCTAACAGCACATTTAAAAATTATAAGAATAATGATAACAACAACAACAACTATAACACTAATAAAAAAACAATACAGTTTCAATAAAATCAGAACAAAACAAAACCAAACTGGAAACAATGTGAAAAAGAAACGAAACCCTTAGAACAGAATCAAAAGGCTTTCCAGGCTGAAGCAGAGGTGAGCCAACAGTCCTCCCCACTTCCCACATTCGCCCTGTTGCACGCTGGGCTGTTCCCTTCCAAAGGGCGGCTAGCTGGGGCTTTAGAAAAGAAGGACTCCCCTCTCACCCAGTGAGTGACACTGAATAATCTCTTAAATGGAAGTAATAAATCTCATTTTGCAGCTAATACAGAGAGTGAGGTGGCTGTCAGATCCCCTCTCTCCTGCCAGGAAATACTCCGGGCCCAACAGCTCCTCACTGCTTGCCTTTTGACTGGCTATATACAGCTACCAAGATGGCAGGAAGTCAGGAAACAGCTCAGTGACAGCTGAATGTTCAGCCTCTGGCAGTGCAAACAAGTCATCTCTCTGGCCAGTTATTGTAATCGCCATGAAATCTGCACACACATACAGACCCGGTCTTCAGAATAGGTTGAACTGCAGTGTACAAATGAATGATTGAAATAGAAAACAAAGTCTTTAGGATGTACTCCAGGTTTAGACGCTTGCAAGTCCTGTTTCTTCCGTGTTTTTAAACTCTGTCTACGGCATAAAAACATCCTTTTCTTTTTATATTGACATATATACTGCACAATATATCTCATAGTAATAATTGTATCATTAGTCTACTGAGTCTACTGAAAACTTTTGAAATGCAAAAATGACTTTTATTTTTAGAACATACACATTCTAACACTCTTAATGTTTTTCCTCCACCAGTGTTCTCAGAAAACAAACCTCATTAAAAACAAAACAACAGCAACAACAACAAAAAACCCCAATGTTAACTCTAAGTTTTCGGGGAGATGCTGTATGATTGCTGTGTTAAACATTAGACTTGCAAATATTTTAGCTGCTATGCTTTTCTTACAAGTAGCAGTTTATTCTGGGGAAAAGTGCAAAAATACATTTTGTAATTTCAGACTTGCACGACAAAGTGTCTACATGGTATGTCATAATTACATAGTTAATCCTGTTCAACGTGCAGCGCTTGAGAAGCAAAGAGTGGCAAAATCAACTAAAACCAGCTGTAAGTCGGCAAAGTGCAATAATATTTAAGAATACATTTCAAGGAAAGGAATGTTTTGGGAAAATAATTTTCAAAAAGCATGTCATATGACAAAGAAGTGTTTGATTTTCTCCTGAATCCCTGCCTTTTAAGTCAAATTGGAACATTCAGGTTGTCACAGAAGCTGTCAAAACCTTTTGCCATGGTACCTGCTCATAAACTGCAAAGGCTGCAAACAGAAAGCACTAAAATAAAGCAAAAACCAAATCATAATTAAAAGAAAAAAATGCAAACGTACAGTTAAAACATCCTTTAGTACTCACAAACGTACAGCAGACATGACATTATAGACCATTACATTGTAGACATTCACAAACTAAATGCACAGTAAGATTTAATAAATAAAAAAAGACCGAGCAAGTCAGTCTAGAAAATATAAATCAGCTTTCAAAATCATAACAGCCTATTAAAAAAGTTACTGAAGGAAGAAAGCATACCACATAATTTTGGTCAACTTACATCAACAAATTGCCCGCATGATTTTGGCATGAAGAAAAAAAATTTACAAAAGAAAGTTGTGTAAGAATGCTCTTGGACAAGTATAGTTATATTCTTGTAAAAATTGACTTTAGCAATTGCATCTTTTGTTTAATAATATTTTTTGACAAGATGGTACAGGGAGGCAACAACACATACATCCACACCACATAACATGAAAAATAAACTTCACGATCATTCTGTTTTGTTTTTTCTTTTTTTTCTCTCAAGTATTACAAAAAACTGTACATCTATAACTTTTGTTTTTTTTTCCATTAAATATCTACATTCTAATAATTTCAATTAGAGTTTTTGCTTAGTTAATTTTGGAATGAATGGATGACTGTACATATTTTAACACTGCTAAAGAAGAGTGAGGGGAGTGGGGGAGGTGGGGCCTATGAGCACACTGCATAGGAAATGAGAATGATGAGGGTGAATGTGAAAGTCAGTTGCCATTTCCATGTAAAGGCAGTACGAAGCAGTCTGGCGGCATTAGAGCTTTTGGCTGTAAGGAAGGGATGGGGATATACAAACAATGAGCATATACATGCCCATCTACAAAAAATAACACAACTCTAACACTGACAGTCTCACAAACCCTAAACTGCAACTTCTTCGCCATGCAGAATAATCATTCATTAAGAAATGTCTTAATCAAAATAGTATCTTCAAAAACAAAATCAATAGAAAATAGATCAAGCTCAATTCCAATCTGGAACCTCTTCACCAACAGTGATGCAGGCCAAAACTTATTAAGAAACAAAACCCAATTTGGCCTAGTATGACAGAAATTCAAATTGGAAATATGGATTTCAGCTATGCTTTCAAGAGAATTTTCCCATCTTTGTGGATAGAAAAGAGCACCAATTCGTGATGGCAGGCCAGCAAGACACGCGCTGAAGCAGTTCCAAATCGAAAAGAAAAAAGAAAGAAATAGATCCAGAAATAATAAGAAAAAAATCTTCACATCTAATTTTTCAACTTTTTGACAATAATTTTGAACAAAATCAGACAGATCAACAATTAGAAAAATAACAACAAAAATTAGATATAGGTATCGACTACAAAAATAAAACAACAATTTTCCCAAGGGAAGAAAGAACAAAGCAATTTTAGTTTTCCACACACTATTATAGATGAACAACCAGATGCACACACTAAACAGACACACTAAGAGGGACAGTTTTGTAGGCAACTGTCACCTCTTTTATGTGTTTTAAGGACAAAATATCTTTTATTAGTATTTTTAAACATGAAAGGGGCGTGCAGTCTGGATGTACGTCAGAAACAGAAGAAATTGGCTGAGAATGGGTTATTTTTTACTGCAGATGTTAATGCATGCTTCAAGTAAGTTGCATTTAGGGAAAGTAGAAGAACAGAACAGCAAGCTAGGGCCAAGGAGGAGGTTAGCAGGTAGAGAAAGGTTAAAGGTCAGAGGAGTAGTTCTTCCAATGGCTGTAGATCTTGCAAAAAACGAATTAACCAGCGTGAGTCTGACAGGCTTCAGGGCAGCCTTATAAGATTGACAAGGAGCACAGTTACCAATTGTTGACATAGTCATGCTAAATCAACTAAGAACATTTGCAGTGCATACCCAATACATTGTGTTTTTATCGTTAAATCAAAGTATTGTATTTTAGCTCCATGTCAGAAAGCACCTTCAGAGAATGTTTTCGGTCCGAAACAACAATGATTTTGCCGAACCATACTGATGCAGGACCCACAGTCTTTGGTTTAACTACTATAAAGAGTACTTTGAGGAATTCCACAAGAGGGCACAAGGCTTTAATATCAGAATCCAAGGCATTGTTATCTAATTTTCAATTGGGATAAACATAAAAATATAGTTAAATCTGAGACCAGAGGAATTTTTAAAACATAAATTGCATTTTTCCCTGTCTGAACCCTTCTGCTACTGCCTTTAAAAAAATATTTTACTAGTTAAATGTTTTATTAAGCTTTTTTATCACAATGTTCTCGAAACCAGATTGTGGCTTCTATTCTGTTTTAAATGGCTATTCTCAATTACAGTGTGTGCAGAAGAACTAGCTGGAAGAGCAGTGAGAATACATCTAGTTTGGATAACTAATAATAACACTTTTTAAGAGTAATAGATATAATGATTGTTTTTGAATTTAAGAATACCAAAAATGCTCAGGACACTTGATGTTAACTCTATTCCAAAGCCCATTCTTCACCAAATGTTTAAGCATAGAAAGCAGCTGAGTTGATAAACAAAAAGGGAAGTCCAATACAATAATTAATTTACACAGGAGAGTAAAGGGCACGCTGTTTTGTAGAACAGCAAGTAAGAAGAATGACATGATGCTTGTTCTTAATACAAGTTTGCTTGTCCACACTCCTGCCTTTCATGGTGAAAAGTAAGACTGAGGAGCAGTATTTGTGTACAAATGTGTTCTCAGGACTTTTTAGTTTATTTAAACAGTTCAATTATAATGGCCTGAGCAGATACAGAGAAATCATTAACTGAGCTTTGTAAAGGTTTATCGATAGCAGCACAAACTGCTAAATTAATTAACTCAGGCTTAACTGAAATGCATTTCTGTTTGGAATTGTTGTCTTGTCTGGTTCTTGCCTAGAAACTAATCACTTTTATAGACATTTTTGAGCCATGCATTATGTTTTCTCATAATTTTCACTTCATCTGAGTTTACTCCCTGATAAACAGCAGAAGGGTGGACTGGAGGAGTGCAAGATTTCAGATATCCCATATAATGTGTGCTACTTACAATGGTTATTTGTTAGACAGTGTGAAAGGTTTCTGAGATTAACTCAGGACACCAGGGCCACATGTTTAATAGTGAGGAATGTGGTGAAGGTGACTGTTGTAGACTTATAAACACAGGACAGTTGATTAAAACAGAAGCTATTGTATAGCAATGACATTACATACCACTGTAGAGCTTTGAACTTGAGATTGCACATACTGTATGTTCAAGGTGTCAACAGAGTTCTCTATTAATGGGCCACATACAGTAGAGTCAAAATACATCTTTTTTTAAAAATCCTTATTTTTAGTTGATACATATTACTTGATGGTCTAATACACTATTGAGGCAAGGGGAATTTATGTTTCACATTAACTCATTAACACACAAAATGTGCAGGATGCCGATTGGGAAGATAAGCTATACTTTATATAGTATGTGAGACGAGTAAGTAATGTAATTTTAAGTTTTAAGACATACAATACAGTGGTGATCAGGAGGGCAAAAACC